TGATAACCAATCTTTTGGTTTGGAATGTTTCTTTAAGTATAATGTTTTAATATTTGTATAGGCTTCGGGTCATCAAATGACGGCAACACTTCTCGACGGTTTTTTGCTAATCCGGAATTGTCATCCAAAATCACTGGTGTTGAAGAAATTATCATTCGACGTTTTGGAATTATACTTTCCGCTTTGAGTTATTCAGAAGCTGTGGACCATATAAAATTCGGAGAGTACGCACATGAGACTGCTAGACAGTTTATTGATAAGTATCAGTGGTATGATATGCCACCTACTGTCCATAAAGTACTTATCCACGGATCTGACTTTATTAGATTTTCCTTAGTTCCAGTAGGTATGTTAATTGTGTTATTATGGTTAATTTAAATAAATGTATATAATATACATGAATTAATTCTTCCGCAGGGCAACTTTCGGAAGAGAGTCAAGAAGCCAGGAATAAAGATTTTAAAAATTATAGAGAACGCTTTGCTCGGAAAATTTCAAGACACAAAACGATGACAGACGTATTTAACCGGTTTTTATTATCGTCTGATCCGTATATAACGTTTCTTGGTCATACTCGAAATCGTATGAGAGTTCCGGAAAATATTCCGGACGAAATACAAAGATTATTAGTTGTGTCGGACATTTAAACCGAAGAAAACGAAAGGAAAGAAGAAAGGGTAAACGAAGGCGAAATCGAAATGGAAGACTAAATACATAAATTGTATGTTAGAAACGTGACATTATTATAAAAATTATAATTAATATTTAAAAATCTAATAAACGTTTATTTCTTAAGCTTTTAGTAATACAACAAAAATATTCCTATATATTCTTGTACATACCTGTATCTTATGATTTATATTTTTTCTCCATGTTTTGTTTAAATACATATATACCTACAATATTTAATAAGGTAACCCCTTTAAATTTTAAATACTGTATTTAATATAATACATCAAAGTTACAAAAATTAAAACTAATTATATTTTATTATATTACTTACAAATTCATAATATAAAAACTCTTACATTTTATATTTATTTCATGATACCAGTCTATAAATAATGAAAAATAAGTCATGTATTTAAATACATCATTAATCATACTTATAATTAAACGAAGTCAACACAAAATTTATCAAACACTAGAAATTCTCGATATTTTTCCTTATGCGCGCGTTTTGCGCAATCCGGACCACTGTGGGTCGCCCCCTATTTCCTCCGTGAGGATGCGGCGCTCTTCTGCCCACGCTGGACAGCTGTCCAGCGTGTGCTGCGCCGTGTCCCTTTCCTCTGTGCAATGATGGCATCTTGGGTCGGGCTCCTTTTGTATCCTCTGCAGGTACTCACCGAAGCAACCGTGCCCGGTGAGTACCTGCGTTGTTCTGTATGACGCCCGCGTCCACGACCGGTCTATCCAGTCGTCAAAGTGAGGGAGGATGGCCTGTACCGTCCTCTTGCCCGCACGGTTCGGTTCAGCCAGCCAGGCTCGCCATTCCTCCCTCACCTTCTCCTTAATGCGGAGGCTGAGGAGCCTCCTCCCCCTCCTTGGTACCGGGATCCCCCTCGCCCTCTGCTCCGCCACCTGCTCGTATACTTGAGCATGTGCCCGGGCGCTCATCGCTATCGGGGGCATCCCGGCCATCAACGTGGCTGCCGCGTGGGAGATGGTCCTATAACCTCTGACCGCCCTGATTGCCATGCGGCGCTGGGTCTTGTTCAAGACCGCAATGGCTCTCCTATTCTCTGTCAGGGCGGTCGACTATACTGGGGCTCCATACAAAGCTATCGAGTTGACAACATTTGCATAGAGCCTCCTGATCTTCCCACGCGGGCCGCCCAGGTTGGGCATCAGGCGCGATAAGGCGCTCGCCGCCTTATCCAACCTGGGCGTCAGCCGGTTGAGGTGCTCCCCAAACCTCCACCTGCCGTCTACGTGGAGGCCCAGATATTTGATCCGAGCCCCCACCCGGACGCGGACGTCCTCCACCTCGACCCAAGATGCCGGTGGCTGTCCCCGAGAGCCGTCATGAATATAGACGGCCTCCGTTTTTGCAGCCGCTACTCTAAGTCCAAGGGCCCTTATTGCCCTTGTCACCGCGGCTATGGCAATGTTCGCCATTTGTGCTGCCTCTTCCCATCCCCTCCCACTGGCCACCACCAACGTGTCGTCTGCATAGCAGATGGTCGTACAGCCAGTGGGAAGGGATGCGACTAGCACCCTATTATATGCGACGTCCCACAGGATCGGCCCCAATACCGATCCCTGCGGGACGCCGCATCCTGCCTGCCACTCTCTATGTTCTCCTTGCTCGTCTGTGCAGGATATCCTCCGCTCCTCCAGGTAGTTCCTGATAATCCTCCTCAGGTATGCAGGCACTCCCATGCTCTCCAGAGCTCTCCTAATCTCGGCGTGGGGGAGAGAGTTAAAGGCGTTTGTAATATCTAGTGCGACCGCCAGCACCACTTCTCCCTCCCCCAGCATATGGTCAGAGAGGGACTTAAGCCGCTTGATCGCGTCTACGGTCGACCGTCCCTCCCTGAAGCCATATTGTCGGTCCGAGAGCCCCTGCTCTTCTCCTCCCTCCAGGCACCCCGTCAGCCTACTCGCTACCACCCGTTCCATCATCTTGCCCGCCTCATCAAGAAGGCAAATGGGCCTGTAGCTAGACGGGGCTTCGGGCGGTTTGCCTTCCTTCGGGAGTAGGACGAGTCTCGCTTCCTTCCATAGGCTCGGAAACCTCCCCTCCCTCAGGCAGGCCGAGAATAGCGTCCTCAGCCTTGGCGCCATCTCGCTCATCGCCACTTTCCACGCTACTGCGGGGATGCCGTCTGGTCCCGGGGCTTTGCCTGCCTTCAGCTTCTTCGTGGCTTTCAGCAGCTCGGCCTCCGAGACCTCGTACACCTCTTCGTCCCCGCGCTCGGTTTTCCTCCTCGTTCCTTTCCCTCTCACCCCTCTCCGGGAAGAGAGCGGCCACCACTTCTCCCAGGAATCGAGGGTCTAGTGACTCCACCGTAGGGGGCGCCCCACTGTTCAGTCTATTCATGACTAACCTGTAGGGACGCCCCCACGGGTCCTCGTCCAGCGTAGCGAGGAGCTCCTCCCAAGCTGCCTCTTTAGCCCTCTTGACCGCTACTCGGAACTCCGTTCGCCGCTCCTGGTACAGCTCCTTGAGCTCATCCAAGTAAGCGGACGGACCGTTTCTTTTGCGTTCTCGTTGCAAATTCCTCCTTGCCCGCACCGAGGCTTTCCTCAGCTCAGCTATTGCCTCGGTCCACCAATAGGCGCTACGCCGCGGGGCAAATCTGGCCCGGGGCATCGCGCTGTCGCAGGCAGCCGTCATGACTCCCCTGAGCCACTGTGCCTCCTCCTCAACAGCTGTTAGTGAGCCTATGTCTACCAAGCAGATTAATAAATTTTCACCAATTCGTAAGTAATATCTTATTTCCAAGTATATAATTCTTATAAGTATTAAATATTATTTTCAATTCGTGTTGTCACTTTGCAGAGGTTATGAGACTGCAGTATGAAAAACTATGTATACTTGAAAAGACGTACACAAAGCTTCAAATGATTGTTGAAGAAATACGACAGCTTTTATTGAATAGGACAGAAGTACTCCATCATCCAAAAGGTCTCCCAAGCCTGCCTTTCGCAACATTCGAGGATGCTAAAATCGCTGAAGATCTCACAAATCAAAATTCTTCCATAAAGGATTATATTGTAAGTTGAAAAATATTAATACCTAATCATTATCTGTTTTGTCACTTGTTACTTCTCACATTATTTTTTTAAAAATCTTAGGTAAAAAAAATAATGTTTGCAAGCTCTGGGAAGTGTGAGAAGGATTGTGCAAAGAGAGTTATGGCTCTTCTTATGACAAATCATACGAGAATGTTTTTTAACTGGAAAGGCGGAAAAGGGAAGCAGCCATTTGGCAGTTGGTGTTTAAAAGAAACAGTGATCAGTAAGTAAAATTGTGAAATTTATATTCTTTTACATCATTTTCTTTTGTTGCGATTTTAACATTTTTCAATTGTGTTATTTTAGCGGCAGTTAAAAACCTAAGACAAAATAAATTAGATATAGGAAAGGCAGAAAATGGGATAAAGGAGTGGCTAAAAGAAAGATGTTTCAGAAAGAATAGCACATGAAATAGTGGCTAATATAACTTCAGGGAATCGAGCCGCCCGTGTGTGATTCCAGCTCCGTTTCTCTCTCTCTCCCTCCCTCCCTCCCTCTCCCACCCTCCCTCCTTCCTTCCCTCCTTCCTTCTCTCCCTCCATTCCCCTTCCTCCCTCTTCTCTGCCCTTCCTCTCCCTTCCTCTCCCTCCCTCTCCCTCCCTCACTCTTCTTCTCTCACTCCCTCCCACTCTCCATCTCCCTTTCTACTGTTACAGACGTATAATTTTAACTAAATTATTCAAATTAAATTTTTAAAAAAAGAAACTCCTGAGAAATCTCTCGGAACATTCCTTATCGATCGTTTATCAGATTACAACTCGCGACGAAGCGGTACCACGGTGGCATTGACAACTGTTACCAGGGTAGAGTTGCGGTGAAGGAACGGAGAACAATACCTTCCTCCTCCACTTAAAATATCGTGGGGGGATTCAACTATAAATATAAGGAAAGCCTTCAGAGCTTTAGAGCTTCAGAGCTTCAGTTGCCTTTAGCTTTAGTTGTTCAATTGATCCATAAACTCACGACTCACTAACTTGACAAATAGAGTTAAAAACTAAAGCCGAGAAACGTCTTGACTCGGACCTAAATCTTATATTGTTGATTCGAATTTCAAGAAGTTTGGACTTTTGAGACTTAAAGTAAGAGTTATTTTAAGAGAGATAATAATTAATTCAATCTAAGATCTACCCTCTCACTTTCTCTGATCGCTGACAAAGAGTGTGGCGGACAGAATCCTCTATTCCTCTCTGATCGCTGACAAAGAGTGTGGCGGACAGAATTTTCAATTCCTCTCTGATCGCTGACAAAGAGTGTGGCGGACAGAATTCTCTATTTCCTCTCTGATCGCTGACAAAGAGTGTGGCGGACAGAAACCAACATCCCTACTCCATGACCAAAAGGAAAGGAGGAAAACGAGTTCAAATCAAACGCGTTAAATACCAACTCAAGCAGGCGCTAAAATCTAATAAAGATCCTTTACCTTTTCTGCTTAAATTAAGAGAATTTGAATCCAAAGACAAAGCCTCAATCGTGAAATCACAGAATTATAAACTAATTCCAATAGACTTCAAGGTCAATTACTTAAATTATAAGTTTATTAATAAAGACGATCCTCGTTACAAAGTTTATCGAAATCGTTATCTCTTCGGTCCAGAAGACTGATTAAAAGTAATTAATTCACACAATCGAGTCCAAATCCCTGGTAAAGCACTTAAATGTGTTGACCGAAAAACGGACGAAACTTTGACTTTGTCAGACCTTGACGGAACGTGACACTACTAAAACTTTAAAATGTAACTCAATATAAATTGAGAATAAACACCCTCGGTAAAACCATCAAAGATGGATGTTCAGACGGGACTCAGTTTTATATATATATTCTGTAATGCACATTATTTTACAAAATAGATTAAAAAATATATAAAGTACTAAAACTTTAAAAGATTAGTTTTATTAATTTCTTTTAACTGTATAGCTGAGTTTGTATACAATTCTATAATTGTATAATACAATATATAATACAATTATAATTGTATACAATTCAAGTCAAATGTTTCATAAACGTTTAATCGCACGTTTACGAAACGTTTGATACGAACGTTTAATACGAACGTTAAACGAACGTTTAATATGAACGTCAAACGAACGTTTTTGTGGTGGCACTTCCGAACTGATTCCGCGTTCGAACGTTCCCCGAACGTTTTTCCGGCGTACGTGTGCTGGTGGGGCACTTTTCGAAACTCGAAACGTAAACAATTACACACCGCGTACGTATTTGATTATTTACTGTCCTTATCATCAACACTACGTACGTTCACAGGGGAAGTGTTTCTCGAGATGGAGGTTAAGTCTTAAGTTTAGTGCTCTGATTGTTTGCCGGTCGATAGCCGTCGAAACGATAAAAGGGGAAGAGACGACAGACAGATGGGATCAGGCCCTTTCAGACGGCAATTTCAAAATCCAGATTGCCTAAATATTATGACCTAAAAGTAAAACTCGGAATTTTTCGAGAGCCGCTGAAAGAAATGATACCCATAAACAATATCAAAGGGCGACTACGATTTAATGATCGGGTCGCCAATAAGAAAGATAACCCCCTGACACCTCCCACTAATCCACCAATGAAGAACCAAAATCCAAAATCCCCTTCCGCGTCCCATGACCAAGACCCACCCCCGAAAAATCGTATATAAACCCGAAGCCTGCTGCCTCAACACACTCTCTTTGGCAGCTCCCGACTCTTACAGTACAGTTCCGCGATCCTCCGAGTTCTGAGCAAACATCTTTTACTATTATCAAAATCAAATAAAATCTGTGCGCGACCTGGCTGACGGATCTGACACCTATCTGAGCCCAGCCGCCTTCGACCAGCTACCGCAAACCACCATCGATCGCAATCAGTAGTAAGTCGCACGTTGTCTTTTATTTTCGTTTTGTTTCGGCTCGACGACCTTCTTTCCCCCAATTAATTTTTATTTTTTTTTATTCCGAGGGACTTTCGCTAGTTCTAACTTCCTCATTCATCCTCTTGCGAACTAACGCCAAATATCCATTCTTCAAAAATTCGTTTTGTGTCCGCGGATTCCGCTTTAGCGTGAATCCGACACGATTCGAAGAGTTCCATTCCTCAAAATTCGTTTTGTGTCCGCGGATTCCGCC